CACCTGTCGGTCTACATACCCTCTGGCAAAAATGCCTCTTAAGACTCTGACACTCAGAAGTGGAGGAGGGTTCGAGTTGACTTAACAAGAGTAACATGAGTTTAACCGTCTCTAGTTTCATTCAAAGCTCTTGTTTTATAAGTCAAGAATCTAGTAGTACGTTAGAACGCTAGTAACATTTTTAAGTCACATCAACACTGTAAAATCATTATCAATCCCACCTTTTGCTCAAATCCCCATTTTTTAATATCATCATAGTCATTAATTTTTGTCAGTATTTCATTTTTAGCTCAATAAGACGGTCGCGTATCATTCATTCACAGCTGAATGAGTTCTTCACATAAAATAACCAGTGATACATTTTTTTTAACTCTTAAAGATAGTTACTTCTTGAAATTATAATAATATCTGAAATACGAGCTTCTATTTGTCAAATTTAGGACGATTTGCAGCTTCTTTCCGCACCAAACACCACTAACAGCTTATTAGCGATTTGTCAAATATTAAACCAATCTGTTGGCACCGTTTGGAATTGTGCCTACGTATAACTGCACTTTGAAGTGTAAAAATATACATTGTATTGTTCAAATGAATTCAAAAACTAGTGACTTATGAGTCAACCCCTTAAGAATGAATTCCCAAAGTAGTCTTTTCCGTTACTGAATCTCTTTATAGGGTAAAATCCTTAGTGTCTATTAAGTTGGATACGAGAGATTCTGTATAATGCACTTGTAATTAACAAATTTAATAGTCTTGATTGAGTTTCGGCATTCTCCGCATTAGCACATTTGCCATAGTAAGAACGCAGCAATTTAATTACCTACTTTGCATTGACAAAGACCTTTGTTGAAAGCGTTGTTTAAAACTTTTGGACTGAAGCGGATATCGAAACGTATTAACGTAATGTTCAACCCAAATAATATTGATCTTATTCAAAGCTCGACTTGAGTAATCCCTAAAGTACAATGTTTGCTTAACACTTTGCAAGTGAATAACCCTCTGATATATAACAAACAAAATGAGATATCAAACAATTAAAATAAAAGTATGTATTTTAAAAACATGCCAGGTCAATATCAGATCTTTAACCTGGCGAGGTAAAATTTTAGCAGTAACTAAGAGTTCATCTAATACCTTTACTGGGCCATTAACTGTAATGACAACAAGGCTTGATACCCGAACAATTCACAAGCAAATTAGCGCAGCGAGAGATCCGAAAATTCGGCAATTATCTCAATGGTCCTGTTGCTTGCCTATTACTAGCTATATACCCTGTAATTACAACAGAGTAGCCGCGCTTTTAAAAACCGTTAGACATGAACATCTTGATACAACATCTTTTCACGCGCGATGATAACACCTAACGCCCAATCTGTAAAAAATCTCTAGAACAATCACCTCTCGGAGTTTTCCCATGTAGAAAAGTGAAAAACGTGTAAATAGAGTTTCGATTATTAATCAGATCACGTAATTCCGATGAAAAACACGTTTCTATTCTGAAGTTAACATCATTATATCTCTCCTTATTTGCCTATGAACGTTTGTTTGACAGCACAATTGATTGTAGAAAGCTATTTAAACAAAAAATTAGCAATGGTACAAAGACTCTTGGACAAAACAAACTCTGGAGTCTGTGCAAACGACTCGATGGCTTTGTTTTGTAAATACACTTCGAGACCCTCCATTAGAAACCATTGTTCGGTTGGCTTATTGGCTGTGATCCGTAACTCCTGTTAATAAACTCTATTAACAGAATCACTAAATGGACTCAGGCTAATGTGACGTTTAATTGAAAAGCTCTCTCGTAAATAAAAGATAAGCAAACAGGATGAAAACAAGGAACCTTACAGAGGAGAAATGGCTCGACAAAAGTCGACAAACTGCTCGGGATTCCACACAATTTTTTGCGTCTATTAAGCTGATGTTTTTTTCCTAGCCCTAACTCGCGAACAAATATCTCTCTTGCGAGGAGCCCAACCCACAAAGTTTACTCGCCTCGCCCAAATGTGGCCTGGAACTTGATGTTTTTTATATTATCATTAATATCACCCTTGCGCGATTTAACTACTGTTGACACAAATTATCCTCCAATAATACTTGTGGTCAATAATATGTCAACTCAATCGTTTCCTGCCACTTTTAAGCCATTAAAGGATATTCTAAATTGCCTTTCTACTTGTTTTCATGGTTAATTGTATGCGAAAATTGGGCTTGGAAGGCCATTTAGTAATTAGTCCATTAACTTGAAAGCTGGGCAAATGATAATATACATGTGATAAATTAGCATTTCTGAAGCATCTGAGCGCAACTGAACAAACGTTTCCTGCTTTGTAGCTTTGGGGCGCAACTTGCTATGTTTGAAAGAAGTTCATCCCATTTGCTGAAATGGGTAAATCGATCTAAAAAGTTCGTGAAATATTTTCTGTGTGTTAAAGAACAGGTTAAGTTATACGTGTTAGTGCTGCGGAATAATAGCATACGATCATAACTCGTGATAACAAAGCTAACCATTATGAATTAGTAAAGCAGCTTGCAGGTGTTCACTGTCATAGTTTGGACGATAAGTCATCTAAGGTTTCTGTTTTACACGTTAAGAATAAAACTAAAAAAAAAGTCAGCTAACACGTCCCACAGAGAAACTGTCAAAACATCAGTTAGAGCTTTGCTTATCCATAGCACGCTATTGAATACATTGTCTTATTTATTATTAAAGCCTAGTAGCGTTATGACAAATAGACAAAACCCTCTTGGTTTGGTTAAACCTTTCTGACCTAACCCGCGATGTAGGGTTTAATAGTCTATCTCAACAGCGAGCGCGTTTTCATCAGCACGTGCACAGATCGACCAATATATTTTGGCTCATAGACGAAAAATCGGCGTATTGTCTTCAAAACCTGCATTTATCTCGATACACTCGTGTTGATATTAATGACAATTTGCAGCAATTAAGGTACTTCTAAGGAAACAGACGTTGAAAAAGAGAAAAATGATCAGACGGACGATTTTCATACTTTCATTTATTTAACGCGTGTCGCGTGAAGTACATCAAATAAGTTTGCACTTTGCTAAGAGTAACTGAATACTGAATTCAAACAAATTGGCTACCAAGAATTAAGGTTAAAAACTCGAGCAAGGTATAGGTGATTATATGCTTGTATATCATGTGATAGTATACCTGTTCATAATATCTGTTTTTAGGATGGAATATTTGCGAAAATCACAAGGTGTGTTTAATGTTTAATGTATTTTTGAAAACTTGACATTAGCTAACTTGACTTCTGTTTTTTGCATTCTAGCATCGGAAAAGTCTATTGTAAACATTTTACTTTTGCTTTAAATATCTCCTAAAATTAATACTTGGCATAGAAATTTACACTTAAATAAAGCATTAAGTTTCCTGTGTTGGACGAGTAGATCTTTTCAATTTATTAATTTGGACAAAGTCTGTGATTAAAATGTTAATAGGGGATATACATACAGGTATCTAGCTTGCCCCCAACTAAAAAGACTACAGACCAGCGGCGTGGATTATTCTAATCTCGCAGTTAGCTTATCAGCATACAGTGTTAGTCTTTGCTGACAGTCGTTGCACCAAGCCGCCGGCGATCACAAACAGAAACCATCCATCAACTCAGACTAAACGTTTTGAATGTCCATTGTGTTTTTATTTCGCAAGTTTAATATTGTCGCTGGTTTCTAGTTAAATGGACACAATCCCCTGCTGAGTATTCCCTACTGCGATTTCTCTTAATGCGTGCAAACTAAGCACCTTCACCTGCCTAATTCTTATTGATAGATGGTTTTTACAAAACTATTATGTGATGTTTAAACGACTCTAACACGCGTATGTTTTAGCTCTTAAATGCTTTGGACCACTCTCTTAGCGTGATAAATGTTCTTAACCACCAATAAATAAGGCGCTTTATGAGCGGGATCCAGAGGTAATTGAGAAAATTTTCGTCGTTTTTCGTCGGTAAATACAGGGTGAATTAGAGGATGTTACAGAGTTAAAGTAAATTCAGTTATTCACTAAATTCGTGTTCATTTTCCATATTTCTTCGCGCTCATACGTGACTTTTTTCTAATTAATGACTGTAGTTTCGCACTTTGATAATTCAACTGAGGAATTACCACTTTTCCGTGTAAAAGTACTTTCTTTATCACATGTAACACTTTTAACAACTTTTTCGACTTATTTTGTTGACAGGGGACATTTATAACTTGAGCAAGAATTAAATAGTGGAGCGTTGTAAAGAAAATTTTCTCAAGCTTTCGAACAGTATTGTTTTCAAAGACCATGACATAACATTACCTTATGCTGCGTACGAAGAGATTTTGAGTATCTCGTCTTAAAAGTTCGCGAACCAATAGACCCAGTAAGAAATAAATACCGAGGACCGGTTTCGCTCGAACGATAACACTCAGCGTATTAGAAATAATGAACCACTTTTTGTTCAGGGCAATTCACATGCATACAAGACACATATCCAATACAACAAACAATCAACACTAAACAATAGATCTCCGGTTGGTATTAAGAAAATGTTGGTTTTGATAATGGGCCATATAAACCCGTCACCTAAAAAGCAGTCAGCTAAAAATGTCGTTGATACCACAGCTCGAGGCAAATATCACTCATTTCAATTACTGTTACTGATATTGATGTTGTGGACTTGACCGGGCGTTCTCGAGTGCTCTAGAGTCTATGTATCTATGTTATAATTTTACCGTTGTGTCGTAAAATAATCATTATCTCCTGCCTAAGAAGTGGGAACAATGCGCGATGCCATTGTAATGACGATCTGTTTGTATAACAGGTCGAGGAAAGAACAATAAAAATATCTCTTTCAAGCTGCTGGCAAAACAAGTGAGGTAAAACACAAGAGTCATTTGAGGTTAGGCTAAGAGCTTACACATGTCCGGTCTTTTGTAAGCAAGACAGAGACCACGGCTGCATTTTTTAAATAAAACTAAGTCACAGGAAAATAAATTATCTCTTACGGTTGATAACGGGTCCTTTATTCATCTGATACTAAGCGCTTTAGCATTGCTAAATGTCATTGATACTTTCATAAATAATAGATAAGAGTAAATACCTTATTTTCCCTTTAATTTTTTGTTTCGAAACAGACAGATATGCGCCCAAATCTCGCAATGTCTGATATCTAAGCAGAACTCAAAAAATTTGCTGTTGTATTTCAGGACAGAATTTTTCCACTTTATACTGAATGATGAGTCTACGTTGTTACCTTAAGTATCAGATATTACGTTCATCTCAGACTGTCAGCAACTTCATGAAGCAATTCGACTCAAGACGACGAGATTTCGTATCGTTTAAGTCAGTGTACAGCAAAAATGTTTTACCAGTTTACAAGTGAGCTATACTAGAACAAAAGATTCCTTAAAGATTTTAACAGAATAGACAGCAACTTAAACTATGACACAAATGAATCGTATTTACAGTCTTTAATTTTTAAAACTTTTTCAACGTTTTATGAGATTAAAATTTATTATACCGATATCTCTTTATAGTTCATAAGGCCACTCAGTAACAGATAACTGTTCGCAGCTGATAACTTGATATCATTGATGGAGCGCAAAGTTTTGTACATTTATACAGAGTTTTTAGAATTAAAGTGGTTGCTTGCGAAGCCATCACATTCTATTACAGCGCTCTGTAAGGAATGGAGACTTAATTGCACTTGCTAAACACCACTGGCTTAAGCTCTGTGCTGGAATCGCTGGCTTGCTACTGCTCAATACGGCAATACCGTTTGGTGTATCTGAATCGCGATTTCCAGTGCTTGTTGATTGTTCCTCGCTTGACCAAACGTCGTTAGGTGACTCTGTAGCAGACCCTGGCCTGCTATCAGTTTTAATTTGCCCATCACTTGTGTTGAGGTCCTCATTTCCCTTACTACCATTCCTCTTAAACTTTGAACGTCTGTTCTGGAACCAGATTTTCACTTGGGTTTGTGTCAGACCAAGATAGGCGGCCAACTCAGCCCGCTCAGGAAGAGCGAGATATTGGGTCTTGTTAAAACGTTTTGTTAATTCTCGAAGCTGGAAACTTGAGTAGATTGTTCGCGGCTTTCGAATCTTTTTCCCTTTTCCGTTTAACCTTGGTTCGTCACATGTTCCTTTCAGTTCTACAATAAAAAAGAATTTAGCAGGTTAATTCCTTCCTTAAGCAACAACGAATGAAGTGACATCTATAAATTGTATCATTTCACCGCTTAACTTCTAAGACAAAAGGCACTGAACTATTTTAACAGTTCACTTAGAACTAATTTTCCTGCCATTTCACAATACAAGTTAACACTTCTAAAGTATTTTACTAGACTTATTGAGTCCACAAACCTCTCTAATTTGTATCAACTACTCCGACCAAGGGGGGCATTAGAGCGCTTACAACCCACTTACAAGTTTTTTCACTGAAAAAGGGCTGCATTGCTGCTCCAAAAAGATTGTTAAGTCGACTTACCGTCGAGAGGTGACTCGTGATGAGCTCCAAATGCTGTTAACGATGGCGATAAGTAGGGATGATGTGAAAGTGGATGATGGCTTAAAACCGGTGCCATCGGAAAGGAGTTTCGGGCGTTGCATGGATGTGAGTACTCCTGGCTTGTTGGAGAGTGATGGTAATACCTCATGGCCGCCGTGTAAGGGTTGTAATTTGGCGGCACAGAGTTGTAGCTGGAGTAACTATGCGTGCCCGGTGGTGAAGGCAACTCCATGAAGGCGGATTTGCAGGCTGCTGGCGGCTCGAAGTACTCGGCTTGGAAGTTGAGGTTCATTTGGTCGCGCTAAATGTAAAACAACTCAATTATAAGAGTTCCGCACTCGCAGATGTGACAAAATTGACAATTCACTGATGAGAACCTCGATATGAGATCGTAACGTCCACCTGAGTGGCTCTGTGTCAAACAACAAAACTCATGAGCCACGCGTGGTCTGTTAATTTGTATGTTTGCGAAAAGCGGAGTCGCGCAAGAATAGCTTATGCAAATCTAATTGGCCGGTATGATAATATGGCTCTAATTACATTGTATTTTATCTTCTAATAGCTTTCACACACAACAAAGGCAGCTGCTGTTGTCAGAATGTCTTTATCATGCCTGTATAATTTGCCATTGTTGATGAGAGTCAGTAAGCACGGGCAAACTGACTTGAAGCGTCAAGGATCTAGACAACTGCATTGAGTCGAATTTCACTGTTCAGGAAAACCTGCTAAAAGAAGGCAGCCGATTTTCTTAAACTGGCGTCGCTAAATTAATTGTTTTACGGAACAACATTGATCCAGCCCTTTTTTGGTCGCAAGATCATTAACACATGTTGTTTAATTGAAGCTAAGTGGTTTTTTCATTAAACCGCTATAGAAATGTCCGTTTCAAGGCATTGCGCGGGAAATGCGGTGATCCTCCCTGTTCGAAAAGACAAGAGAAATCGATAATGGCAGTCGGCTTCAGAACCAATTTGAAAATGATGGGTGTAATTTCTAATAACTGACGCCAGAATATCAAAATCCATAGCAAATTATACTGTTAAGGGGGCCCAAAAAACCCCAAATTGCTCCTTATTCAAAAGCGCAAAACAATGCCATCTACAAACCGTTGTCTTTAGGGGAATAATTGCTTTAAACGTTTATAGAAAACGAAGTGTAAAAACAACCCAAGGTAATTTAGCGGTGCCTTTTAACTGGCAACAACAATGTATCATTACAGCCAAGTTAACTTGTCCTCAAATGCTCGAAAAACTGACTTGACGCGAACTTGAGCAAACAAAATGAACGCTAAAAACAAATTTCTGCTACTAAGGAAGCAAAGCCGGTGATCTGTTTAGTTGACACAATGCCCTTTTACACCATAAAAAGTCGGATTAACTATTTACCCCACTGGGCCTTTAACTGTGAAAGGCATTTAATTCGTGCCTTGCGGTGACGTAATTATGTAAAGGTTTGACTTCCTTTTTCTTAAAGAAGACAGAGAGAAAAATATTAAAAGTGGCAATAAAGAATCAATTGGACTTCAAGCTTCCATCTTGAGTCTAAAATCTTAACTAAGATGCATCGCTCGTCGACTTTTTTCTACCATTTTTGCTTCGGGAGCCGGAGCGCGTTTTTGGACTTCGTATACACTATTTTCATTTTCTCAATGTTTTTACTACTTTGAATGTGCGCAAGCCCTAAGAAAATAAATTCATAATTTGTCTGGGCAATGAACAATATTTCTAAGTTGACTTGATTAAAATTTTAATCATCTTTACGCCTTATGTGGCTTGTTCAAATTGTTGCTGAGTTTTATTTAAAAGTGTAATTCTCTTTCATGCTTTACCAACCATCTTCTCTAGTTTTCAGATGTCTGTACGTCGAACAGTACAACTAGTGAGCAAAAACGCCTGGCACCAACGAGTTAATGTTACAATTTTTCATTTCTGTAACTGCTTCCCTCTTATCATTTCCGGAATAACAACACTTTTTAACAAGCTGCTTTAAGAAAAATAAGTAGAACTCATTAGGTAATGAGAACGCGTAGAATGCATTTATCGCCAGTTAGTACTGTTTCCCACATCGATTTTACAGCAACAATACGCTTTTTCAATCACTCTTTCTTCTTTGCCTTTGTTTTTAAGAGGAAGAAATGAATTACATAGAAAACGTTTATTCCCGGAATTTACTAACAGTTTCGTTGGTATCGCAAAAATTTTTTTTTGTTGGGCAAAAAAGAACATTTTAAGGTGACACTTACAAAATGTATGAAAACGATATGAGACTAAGTAACTTCAAGTTTTTCAAGTACGAGCAGCATTCTCCTGATGTATGTCTAATGAAAGACATCGACAATTCCAAAGAAATCAAAATAAGGACCATCTGTTTAAATAAGAGATCATACTCGTACGTTTTCGCGTGTTTGCGTTCAACGAAGCCCGAAAACAATCCTAGGGGCCTGTGCTAAATGACTGAAATCGCTCTTGTTGACTCACCACAAGTTCCTCACGAAAGTTACAAACATTCAGCCATTGCTTAGTCATCATAATCATAAAATTGAACCTTCTTAACCAATGTTCTTTTGTTCAAAGAAACGGTTCACTTCAAGTCTATAGGCTTAAAAGACTGTTTTTCATTTTTATTATCATGGAAATGCTTTGAGTGGCATATTTTGACGATTCCCCTTCGCTGATTGATGTCCCGCGGACATCATAAAACGAAATGAAGAAAAGAAAGAGCGACTTTCTTTTCGGCAATAGCTATAAACTAAACAAATGGACAACTTAAGTTAACCAAGTTTCCAGTACAAAGAAGACATTGGCAACACAAAAAGACTGTAATTGGTAGCAGCTCTGTATTCCCAGAGACATTCATTTAATATGTTTTGTTCGTGTGGCAATATGGTGAGCAACGATTGAAAAACTACAAATAAAAGTGAGAATTTTTCACTTTTATGCAGTCTAAAAACCGACATTATCTTTATCTTTCTGGTTGAAACATAACACTGATACTTAATAATGGTTTTGAAACTGAAGCCAGACAACACTATAAACTGTACAAAACGTTAACAAAAGAAGCTCACTTCTTATTCGAATTAAAATTATACCTGCATGCAAAATCAAAAGTAAATTCAGTTGTAAATAAAAACATAAAATTTGGCGGTTTGTGCGCCTGATCACTGAACATCCTTCTTAATGACTGTTGCGTGGTTGTGTCAGTCGTGCGTAGACAAACCTTAAAAAGTTTATTTTACTATAGCATCCCGGTGCCGAAATATGAAGCAATGAGACTGTTAATAAAAGGAAAACGTTCCCAATGAAAGGCAATTGAGCTATTTTTATCCAAAGGAACCACGTCTTCTCATTTTGTCAACGTAAACCTCACACGATTTTCTGTTTCTAACTTCACTTCAGTTCAAGGTTTCCAAAATTAATGAAGAAACCTTAGTTAGAGTAGTACGTTACCAGAAGTTCTATTGATTATATGTTATCAGGACAATAGCTGACAGTCATCAACTGAACTCAGTTTCGAAACTAACAGAGATCAATAAGTTCTCTGGAAAGAAACTAAAATGCTTCATGAAAACCATAACGCAATGATATGATCTCCCTCAAAAGGTGACCTTATTGAGAAGCAGATGAATGTTTCCACGATGTGTAACTCTGTTGAGAAAACAATATGGAACTAAAAACGAGTCGTAAAGTAATCCTAGATCGTGAGAGTTCAATATGTAAAAGCTGTGGAATATATCAAACTAATCACTGTTGTTTAAATCCTTCTTTTTGGTACTTTATAAAATTTTAATACAGGCCTTTTTACATTGCAGCCGATTTAAGTTACTCATTGGCTACCTAACGTTTCGATAAAGGAGTTTAACTGAGAAAAAGAGGAAGTTAGGATGCAGCATCACTTGAGACGGAAAAGGATAGAAGACTCTTTTTATTCCTTAGTTGTAAAGTGAATTATACTTGCTGTTTTGGTATTTCTTTGAATTCTCGAAGCACTTGAAATTGTGTACAATCGGAAGATTGATTTTTCATTGTACGTTTAGTAATCTTGACCGTGCTGACCATGAGATCAATACAGGTGAGCATCACTTTTAACAGTGCCGTCGATAAGAATTGCCTTTTTTCTGAGACAACCTTATTTAGTCGTAAACAATGGCGACCACTACCCATGCTCGACTCTGACTAGTTCAATCGCGTGATGCAAACTGAAGATTAGTTTTATGCTCTAGCTACAGATATAATGGGCATTCAACTCTGGTAGTCACTTCTTTTCCCTGTTTGTAGTACTCAGTTGTAAACTGAGCCATTTCAAGGTTTTAGCTCTGGTTGTACTTTAGAGAATCGACCTAAGTAAGGAAAGGAATTTCTTCCGTGAAAAACATTCCTTTGGCGGAACAGCTTAGCTGTCGATTGCCTTGATCGAGAGTTAGCGTGCAAACTAGGCTTAGCTACATAATTCCCGAAGTATGGCCAAAAATTCTTTCCAGAATTTCCCGGAAAAGCTCTAAAATTCTTTTTAGAAATGTCTAAAATTCTCCAAAAACCCTCTAAAATTCCAGAAAATTCTCAAAAAAATTCATTTTTTTGATGGCGATATAACAAGAAAGAATGAGTTGTAATCGTAAAACATCGTTTGTTACCATTGTTTAAGGGTTCCAAGAAACATCATTTTACGTTTTTTTATATATGTATTTATCTTCCTTTTCAAACGAATGTCTTATAGTGCTCTAGAAACTGCTGTAGCATGTGAGTGGACTGAACCCTCTCTTGGTTGGTAGGAATAAAAAAAAATAACGTTTTGTCAACGTTTTCGCCCGTGAAATGTTGCGAAAATGTCGGGTGAATGTTCAAATTGCTCTAAAATTCTCGAATTTGTCAATTTTTTTCTATAATTCCCGAGGTTTTCTAAAATTCTTTTTGATGTCTAAAATTCCACCCCAAAATTCCGGAATTATGTAGCTAAGTCTAGTGCAAACCTCTCGCAAAGCTGGTTATTAGAAATGTGCCCGTAATTCTAAAAGATCCGAATATGCAAGTTGTAATCCAGAGACCTAGCGTCCTAGTTAGTTTGCTTTATAAATATGTTTTTCAGCATTTCATAAGCTACTTGGACTTTTGAGATTTCAGTGGAGTGAACGAAATCATGCCTGCCTAACGTTTTAGGAGCGCAAGGTCTCAAGCGGATTCTTATATGTTGAGATTCAGCATCACTAGAAAAATTTGGTTTTATCATTTAAATGAGTCAAGAAAATAAATTGACCACTTAAAGGCTTGCCGACTTCTTCTGTACCCTAACGTTAAACAGTCAGTAACATAAAACCAATTGTTATCTTTCCAGTTTGGGCTCATTTTTGTCCAGATGAACGCAACACTGAGAAACATTTAATACGTCGTCCAATTATTAAAATTCTGTTGACATGGTTGCCGAAGAAAGAAAAAGGAACTTGACGTTTTCCTCTTACTGTGTTTT